CATTTAACCAGACCTCTCTTCATCCTGTGTGAGCTCTTAATAAGAATGTCAGAAGAAAGACTATTTCCCGAGCTGCAATGATGAGATAATATACAGAAGGTTCTGTTGATTCAACAGGGTTTATTTTTCTTATTGTGGGTGGAAGCAGAACTAGGGAATTATAATTATTATGAATATATATATATATATATATATATATATATTCATAATAATTATGAAATAATGTTTTGTAGAAATGTATTCAATAGACTGTAGGATATTTACATTTACACTTCGGGGAAAGTATAATGGCACTTATTACCTTAATGCATTAATGCTTGAAATTGCCATATTTGAAAATATTCTACATTATTTCCAAGAAAGATGCTACTTTTATTCCCATGAGAGCTACAGTTACATATTTACCTGTGTAGCTCTGGAGCTGACAGATCAGCAAAGCAGCTTAGATAAATTCCTGGTCCCAAAATATTACACTGATAATTATTGCAGCACTTACAGATCAGGGTGCAAGTTCAGGGACTTTAAGGAGTTTTGATTAGCTGGAAATGACAAATTCTACAAACAAATATAAATATAATACATTGTAGAGCGACAACTCAAAATAGCAGGGATTGTATTTCTTTATATAAATATGTTTATATACATAAATATATTTTCATGCTTATACATATTTTACATGTGTGTGCATGCACAGAGATGATATTTATCTTTTTGGGGGGTAAACTGATCTTTTGTTTAATTATTAGTTATCAGCATAAACTCCTCTGCAGAGCTTTTTTATTTACTGCTGATTAAAAATGTGTTGAGGAAAACTATTGAAATTATTTTTGACTGCAGATGTTATGAAAACAAGAAAATGGTTCTGATGTCGTTTGGCCTTCATTTCTCTGTAACCCATAAAGTATTAAATATGAAGTATTTGTTTATTTCATATATTCCATTATGGTCATACTTTCTTATTATTAGATAGATTTCTCTGTATATAATTTAAGTTTTATGTTTTTTTCTGCTGTTTTGTTACGTTTGAAGAATCGGTCACTCTTCTATTATATTGGATTTGGCTGCAACGCTGTTTACCGCTGAAATTGTGTTTTTGTTTTGTTGACATCAGCATAGTGGTGAGCAGATAATTAGTGATTTAAATATTTTTGGTCAACAATCCCTTTAAGTGAACTAAGCTGCGAGCTGCACAGCAACAATGGATGATACTCCTGCATTGCACAGTACAGTTAAGTCCCCTCACACCTGCAATAAGAGTTATCTGGATGCACAGTAGCAGTTTTACTGACTCAATTTGCCCACAGCTGCACTGCTGGCAGACCTGAAGAAAGGGAAGTGACAGTTAGTGGTTGTGGTGATGAATAAGAATCCTCTCCTCTCTGTTTCTTCACTCTTGTCCTCATCAAACCCTCTGAGCTGCTTGTGTCTCGTTTTAGCCAGCAGAGGGCGGAAGCATCAAAACAAACAGTGGAGATAGAAATCATACATGGCAGATTGTGTTTGCTCATCAATCAATCAAACTTTATTAATATTGTGCAGCATATGTAAATGTAGGGTGGCAGGGTGGTTCACATAAATCAGACTTTTCACAGATGATTTTATGTGTCTCTAAAAACAGTCATTACTATGTGTGCAATTTTTGTTTTAGTTGCTTTCCCAAAGAAATGACATTTGGAATTGGTCTCTCTTAACAATATTTAATTTGTGTTTTAAATCTTTGCCTGCAAGTCTGTTAAGCTATAAATGCCACTGGGTTTTTAATGTAGAAACTCTTGTGCTGGATAACAGTGGATGGGTTTCTGAGCACTTACGGTATTGATCTGCAGCATCTGTGCCACCACACGTGTGCAATATTTCATAACATGCCAGCAAACAACTGCCAAACCTTTTATATCATGCACTGCAGGACAGTCATCAGGGGTAATTCCGGGTTCAGCATGTGGAGTGGAGGATCAGACCGCCAACCCTCTGTTTAGTGGACAGCCCACTCTATCCTCCTGAGCCACAATCGCTTCGTATTGTCGACATCATTTCACTACATTTATCAGTTTTTAGCTCTAGTTTCTTCTCCACCATCTGCTTGCTGATGTGTTCACAGGCATTGGATACATTTCTGTTGCATTTGGTGCTGGGCCGTTAACTAGTGTACACCAGACCGACAAGTGTCAGCGTGATAAAGGTCCAGATTGAGATCCAGAATGACTGTGGGCTCGTTTTTGTCGACCCGTAGGTGTCAGTGAGTGACAGCGAACGAGGGACAAATTAAATGACAGCGCTACAGATGGTGAGCTGGACACCTGAGGCCATATTGAACTCTCATACTGTATTAGCAGTCTGATGATAATGATCCCATGAGGCGGCTTCCTTTGAATCACAGTCCATTCAACATAAGAAGGGGGAAGCGTCTCCCGCCCCCTGTGCGGTCACCAGCATTTCATTTGCAATCTAAATCTAAAAAACAGAGTGCTGGAGAGTCACATCAAAGGGCTTTTTGATAGCTGGGATCGAGCAAAGGCCTGAAATAAAATGGCTAATTACGAGTGTTGATGAGTGGGCCATGTAAGCTACACACACTAATTGGATTGTGCAATGCAGTACTGCTTTTGTTTTCTGTGCATTAATGAAGTCTTTTCTCTGAAATGTTGAAGAACACTTTTGTGTTTCCTGGATTAAAAATGGTGGCCTATATAAACATGTAATTTATACAAACACCCATATAGGAGATAATTCAACTCCATGGTTACGTTTAGGGTTTGATTAAAGAAAAAACAGCTATCCTGAACCACCAGACGCACAATGGGTTTCTGTTTATCTATTCAGCCTGTGTTTTCAGCATCAGCGTCATTGAATAATGAAGAACGTAAGAGTGGTAATAATAGAATATTCACAGCTTTTGTCATCTGTAAAGGTACATGTGAAAGATAAAGTTTTCTTGGATAAAGCAAAGAAACTTGCCCAATGCAAATACTTTATCAATGTACTCATGTTAAGTCTAGTAAAGATCAGACAGAACTCTGGTTTAGTATAACAGCAAAATAGGTTTGAGATAAAATATATTCAGATTTACTTGGGATTATTAATGGAGCACAATGGATAGAGATAACCAGTATAAGCCTAAAAAGGTGATACGTAATGTCCTTCATCTGCTCTCTCCATGAATCTTGGGAAGAACAGATGGGACACCTGATCTGAAGTGATGCAGAAAGAGGAAGTGATGTGACTGGATGCACCAGAGCAGCAACTAAACGGACCATTAATAGAGATCAAATGCTGTTGTCACGTTGAGATCTGGATCTCTTTTTCAAGAGAGATCAGACAATCATTTATACAAGTCAATAGATGGATCATTCACAGACATATGTCATACATTTAAGAAAAAGCAGAGGAAAGGTTAAAATGTTCCTGTGAAATATGACAATATAACTTCCAATTTCAGTAATCCAATATCAAAATGTCCTGCCGTGTATTTAAAGGAGCGCAGGTACAGTAATGTACTTTTTTGGGGGGGCAGAAACGTTTTATAAAACTATAAATTATAAATAACAACATGCTGCTCCCCTCTACTTCTTACGGATGACCATCCCACCTTTTAGTTTAATTTTCAATTTCATAACCATGAACGGGTTGGATGGGTGCAGTGGGCTAGATATTCCAAAATGACCAATAGCCTGCATCCAGTTTTATCAGAATTTAAAACACGTTTCTATTTGATGTAAATGTCATCTCACTATTTTGGCTGAGAGAGACATCTTTTTTTTAATGGTAAATAAAAGAGGACCAAGAATGGATCCTTGTGGTGCACCTATGCCAGTGCTAGGGGGACTTGACCTGGAGATTGCTGGAGATGATGGTCTCTCCTGAGTCCTACCTGAGAGTCATTAAACCATTGAATGGACTTGATGCACTAATGAAATACTTGACTAAGAACTGTGGAAGGTGCAGCACAACATGATGCTTTTTCACAGCTTCAATAAGGTTGTTAGGGACACAATGTAGCTGTTGTTGTGCTCTGACACAATCTAAATACTGCAATCTGTTATTTGACTCTAGAAAAAGTTTCAGTTGAATCCCGGGATTTTCCTTCACCAGGACAACTTTGACATTGGACGGTAATTATTTAAGTCCCTTTAAGTCCCTGTGCAGATAGATACATTTTACCTGATACAAGAGATAAATTAAAAAATGTTAGTTAAAGGGGCTGCACTGGAGTGACTGAGAGAACGATCTGAATCATCTTCACTCTCAGATTTGTCAGGGGTTTAAAATGAGTGTTCACCGCAAACAGGATTTTGTCTCATTGGAAGAAAAGAAATTGGATTGAAATTTGATAAACATGATGAAAAACCCCCACTTCATTGTGAACTACTTGTTTTACCAGATGAAGTAAATTGGCAATTGAAATTCAGATTACTGTTACTGTGGTGATACTGTGTTGTATGAGTCTCAGACTGGTTATAAGACTGATGTTAAAAACACAATGAATCCAAACCTTGTGCTTGAGATGATGAGGTGGGTTTCTGATTCTTATTTATCTCTGGCCACTACATTCTGTGAAGATGACTGATTGATTATCAAGGAGACCTGTGACCTTTAACAAGATCCCACTGGGCTAAATGGAAAATCGGCTTTTTATTATGGGGAGAGGGTAAAAAAAACTAAATGAAAGAATCAAATTGAGGAGTAAATGCTTTTAAATTTTCACTGCAGAAAAAGGTCAATGCAATCTGTGGATAGTGTTCACACATTCAGTTCCAAGTGTGATTGGGTTCGTGAGACGCACGTTCACAACAAAGGAGGAGAGGGGCTGCTGAAGGAGGAGGTGGAGGGGGAGACAGGAGACATCGGTGCAGGTGTCCTTGGTTTTATTTCCCCGCTGACAGCTCGGAGACAGGAGCCGCAAGGAGCCTAAGAAGGAATGAAAGCTAATGAAATAATAAACGTCTGATCTGCCGGGAAAATCCGTGGAAAAGAGCAGCGGAGGGAGGAAGGATGCGCTCGTCTGGATGAGAGACCCCCGCTGGGTGAAGACGCGCAGCGGAGGCTACGTGTTAGCTGAGCCGTGAAAAAAAAAAAAAGCTCCGAGGATGAGGTGGAGGAAAATGATCACATCACCAGCGATCACTGTTTCACATGCATCCTGCTCGGATTAGAAATCTGCATCTGTCTGGACATCCGAGCTCGCTGCTGATCGGCTGCCGTCGCCCTCCACCTTCCAGGTTTCCTCCTGCAGATGTGGGCTGCATCAGGGACAAAGGCCTGCTGCTCGGGATACATCGCGATGAGCAGCATTGATCGTCTCCAGTATTACAGGCGACTCCTGGATGAGTCTGCTGCACCGTTTGCACGCCTTATGGACACTTGTTCCATGTCAGGTGAGATGCAGCTGATGTGAGAGGAGCAGTGTTACTGCTGTGACAAAGCAAACAACACAACCTGAGCTGCTCTTCTGCTCCATCACGATGATGGGACTAACCTGACTCTGCTGGATGTCACTCCCTGGCACTGCTGCAAGTATGGGCACAAATATCACCGACGTTCCCTGGGAGCCTGCTTTCACCTCTGATTCCGCCCAGGACCCGGTGTGGTCCTCTACAGCCGGCTGCGTGGTGAAGATGGTGCTCATATCAGTCATCGTGTGTGTGTCCTTGTTTGGGAACGTGGTGGTCCTGCTGGTGTTCCAGAGGAAGCCTCAGCTCCTTCACGTGGCCAACCGCTTCGTCCTCAACCTCCTGTTGGCAGACCTGCTCCAGACCATATTGGTCATGCCCTTCGCCATGGCGGCCACCGTGCCAGGTGTGTGGCCCCTGGATGTGCGCCTGTGCCAGGCCCTGGTGGTGCTCATGCACCTTTTCGCATTCGCTGGGGTCAACACCATCATAGTGGTGTCTGTGGATCGCTACCTGGCCATCATCCACCCTCTGTCCTACCCCACCCGCATGACCCCTCACCTGGGCACCAACCTGATCATATGCACTTGGGTGCTCAGCTTCCTGCAGAGCACTCCGCCTCTGTACGGCTGGGGGGCCATTGACTTTGACCGACATCACAACATGTGCTCGGTGGTGTGGTCCTCCAGCCTGACCTACTCTGCCGTGGTGTCCACTTTTTCTTTCTGGCTGCCCGTGCTCATCATGCTGGGATGTTACTGGATGGTGTTCAGAGCAGCTCGGAGGCAGAATGCTCTTGTGCACCCCATACAAAAGCAATCCTACTCCCAGCCAGCGCCACAGGACTTCCAGGGTCCTAGCAGTCCACACCAGCAGCCCCAAGCCCAGCAGACAAGTTCCCCTGAAGGCCCAAACTCAACCAGAGGATACCCTGTTCGAGTCAGGCACAGACGCTTCCACTACCACTGCAAGGCAGCTCGGGTAGTTTTTGTGATTATGGCATCATACATCCTCAGCATGGGGCCTTACAGCATACTGAATACAATATCTATGAGCACCAGAGCACCTGTACCACCCTGGCTGTCCTCTGTTGCCCTTGTGCTCTTTTTCTTACAGTGCTGCCTGCACCCTTACATTTATGGTTACATGCACCGCAGTGTGAGGAAGGAATTCCTGGCCCTGCTCTGTGGACTGTTCTGCAAACAAGGCCGTCCCAGCCAGAGCTCTGCCGTGGAGAGCTGCTTCACCACCACAGAGGGACGCTCAGGGGCCCACCCTCACCTGCCCAGCCTGGCCGCTCGGGTACTCCCTCTGCGGACTTGGGAAGAATGCACGACATCCTCCACCCCCACTCTTGAGAGGAAGTCGAGGGACAGCCGCAAAGAAACGGCTTCCACCAGCATCAGCTCAGAGAGGGAGCTCACGGTCCACAGCAAACAAAGCACATGAAGTGCCTCGAGAATTCATTGGATGGACCATATTTGTTCTTACATGAGGAGCAATGTATTCACACAACAGGGTTATTCATGCAGAAGTTACTGGCATTAGGAGTATCAGTACACATTTGTTGATCAGACAACTAACTTGAGTTCAGATTTATTTGGAAAAAGAAATTGCTCATTCATGGTTCCTTTGTAAATTGACCGTGTAAAACAGCATTTAACTAGGTAAAATCTTGAGAAACACGTTTTATGTTTTGTCTCATTCGTTTAAATGTGTGCAGTTAATATACAACAGCTAAAACAAACATTTAAATCATAAACTTAAAGTAAAACCAGAAACAACATTTAATTTGTATGTTAAAAATAAGCCTTTGATTGATACCACTAGGGTTTTTGACCAAGACTTGCTGTGATATAGAAAATATTACATTGGATTAAAGTGCTGTGTGTTCTGATCATTTTGCTTTAATTATGACAAATGGACGTCTCTGATAACGTATTGATCTGCAGTATCTACGCAGCTACTGTATCTCCTTTAAGCTTTTTGTGCGTGTGTTGTATTTTGAGTCAGAGGATGTACTGATGTACCTTGTGTTAGGGCGAGCGAGGTTCGCCTGCCACTAATGAACTCAGGATCTGTTTTTGGAAAAACTTCGTCGTGCCCATTTCTGTTTTTGAGCAAGTGGAATATGTGCGTGTTTACGTCCTTGTGGCTGAAACTCTTCTTAGTCTCAAAGCGCCTTTGGAATAAATGAGTAGAATAGTGATGCATTGTGCCTGTTGAAACCCACAAGGGGTTGGTGGATTGCTTTGATGGGATGGGCACACAAACCAGTTTGACTTAACCTCTGTGTTTCCTTTAATTCTAGTTCAAACGAGGTGGGAATTTATAATATTGGTCCAGAGGGCTACTTTACATTTTGACTCCGTATTTACTGCCTTTGTAATGTCAGCCTTTCTTTGAGGAAGTAGTGTTATTGTTGAAACAGTGCAGTGCATAGAGAACAGGGTATGGACTAAAAGTCCAGTGGACTCCGTGGACCAGTTATTTAAAATAGGCCGCATTATATATATATATATATATATATATATGAGTGGCGTATATAAGAGTTTTCTTATGTTCCTCTGAACACATGTATATTTGTAAAGATATGTCCTGATACACCCTGCCCTCTCACAGCCACAGAGAGGGTGAATACATTTGTGATGAATACCTGCCATGACTCATCTCATAGAAAGGCAAATCACTGAGTCTATTGGGTCGATGATGTGTCGCCAAAGGATTTCACAGTTGCATGACCACATTATGTGCATTATTTGAAAAGTGTGTCCGGTTCTGTGGTCACGTTTTTATAACGTTTAAATGAATGTTTTATTATTAGGATTATGGTTTATATAATTATTGTTGTTTTATGTTTGTGTTTTTTGGGAAACAATCCATGGCTTATCGTACTTGACTGGACTGCCATAGATTTGAGCCACGATTCATTCAACAGTATTATAGCTGACAATCAAGCTTGTACAGTAAGTCTGACAGTGTTTCTCTGTATATGATGAGTTACTCTACAGTGTGTAAAACGATTTATCATCAAATAAGAGAGTAATGCTGTTTTTAAAGTGCTTTAAAACAACATATTTTTGTGATTTCTATCGTGCTTTTGTATTATTTCTTGATTCATCGATCAACATCACAAGTTGTCTGTTGTTTAATAAAAGTGAATTATATGTATTATGTGTCTAAGTGTTGTATTAAACTTACCAAGCAGTCATAGGTGTTCTTGTCCCCACAAAAAAAGACTTTGGATATTAGCAGGATGTGTGGACTGGGGTCTGATCGTGACACCAGGCAAAGCATCACTCAACTATAGACTTCAGAGAAAGGAAATAAATTATTTTATCTGAATCAAATTAAGCAAGGATCACTTTAGTTTTTGAATTCTCACTTTTAAAACAGCATGACGTGCTGCATTTTTAAAATGCTCGCCAGAATGGGCGTTATAGGTTTTTAGAGGTGTTTTGTATTTGTACTTGATACAACTATTTATGCTTAACGCTTTCCTCATTAATGTTGGATATATTGCTGCTGGCCATTATTACAATCAACACCCTCACTTGCAGCTCTCTTACTTTATTTTCTTCCCTGTTTAAAGGTGTTTTTGGTTGTTTCTCCTCATTCTGGTTGAGTTTTAAGGGCAGAGGATGTCACGCCTTGTTAAAAGCCCTATAAGGAAAATTGTGACAATAAAATTAGATTTGAGGTTCATCAGTTTTAAGTCAGCTCAATACAAACGCTGTAACTAATTCATGAACATTGATATGGAAATATAAAGCGTCAAAGCTTCCCGGCTTACATAACTAGGGGTAACATATCCTATTACCTCATACAAATAGAGTAAGGGACATGGTTAAGAGTGTATAAAATGTTCATATGTATAACTAGTGGCTCAAAAAAGAACATGGCCTTCACTTTGAATTAACTGCATTTATTTGTAAAACTGTTATCACCTTGGGTGATGACTCCGCACTGCTTAAAGCAAAAGGCAGCAGTGTTTTACGTATATAGTTACAGTTCAGCAAACTGCTTATTAATATCTAAAAGGGTGCATCTGTACTGAATCAGTTAATTAATGTACTGCATGATGATTTCACTGGGTGAGAATCTCTCCTGAGATTCTTACTATGCAACAAACTGTAACTGTAACTGTAGCATATTCTTCTATGATACACATGTGCTTCTTCAACGAGTGTAACCTTTGCTACTATGCAAATTTAGTATAGTAATCAAATACAAGAGAATGGACATGTAGCAATGTCAGTATTTTATATGATTTCTTAACTACAATACAAGCTGATAGTTTAAGGATTTATAGCCCACCCTTTACCTGAAACAAGAAATCAAAGTTCCATAACGGTGACAATCTTTAAGTAGCATTTTCTCACGTACTCGCTCTGTACAGTATATGTACACAGTTTTTTTTCATTTTTACAATATAAGTAATGAAAAACAAAGTTTAGACATTTAGACATGATAAAAAAAAAGACAAATCAAAAATACAGGGCATTTTACTTTCTTAGGAAAACATTTCATCTCTTGTTAAACCCACCAAAACAAACTGCTCACTATGAGAAACGAGATCATTGGAACCCACACTGATTTTCAAGGTGCCACTGAAAATATTACTGGTCAACAGTGAAGACAAAATTACATATATACTTAAAAAAAAAGAAAACGATAGCCATGTAGGTTTAAAGCACAAAAGAGGACGGGTTCTGGTCTTCAGGTCTCTCTATTATAAGTGATGGTTTTGAATCAGGTCCATTGAGACCTCTTTATCACACAGGCAGCACCGAGGAGGCGAGTGCTGCGACAGCAAGGAGTCAGTCTTTCCCTCAGTCCTCTAGTCCACCTTGACCACACTGTAGATCTTATTTACAAACCAGAAGCAGGCAAAGAAGCCAATAGTACCTGAGAAGAAAAGAAAGAGGTTACAGGGATTTTCTGATAATATTACAAAAATATAACATTTACAAATGCACAAAACTCCACGAACCACATGAGAGACTACAAATATGAGTAGAGCACAAAACTGATGAAAAGCCACATGGTCCTGAAATAAATGTACTTCAGGAGCATGAGCTCAAAAATAATCCAAGTGTGAAACTTTACAACCAGTTTGCTGTCAGACCACAACCACATTCCAGCCACTTTAAAATGCAACTTTTAACATGGAGAGCTAATCTGCATAATTGCAAATCACCCCAAGCCTTCACTTTGTCAAAGACGGAGGGAGAGCAAGTGAGTACGTACCCATGAGCTCAAACAATGCGGACTAGCCAGTTTGGTCAAAATACTTGATCAATTCATCTTGAATTAAAGTCCAATTTGACTGCTCGATGGGGGCCACGCAGCCCAATCTGAATGAAGTTGTGATCAAAGTTGGAATGAGGTATAAGAAACAAACTTACTAAAAAAAAAAACAAAAAAAAAACTAAAAATGGGGAGTGAGAGAGGATTATTTAGATCAAAACTGGAAGCAAGGATGGGAAGTGATAGTCTTTTCCTTGAATCCTTGGATTACTTCTTGGTGATAATCTTCTGACATCTCGTTCCCTTGCTACTTACAGCTCTGTCTTAAGATAGTGTCAAACTTTGTAGCCGTGACATGTGGGGACTACGGGCTAACTGTTATCTGGCCTAATGACAGTATAACACCATAAAGTATGTCATCGTCTGACATCATGGTGAGCCTTATATTCCTGGGTGACATAAAGACCAGGCGTGTATTTGCCAGTTATCTGGTCCTGTATATTATCCTCTTTCCACACATCCCTCGTCTCAACTGAGTGGGAGTGCATGAGAGTTGGACGTGGTTGGAACAGAGAGTGCTGTTACCATGTCAACATGTGTCAATCTCGGCATCTTTTAACATGGAGACGAGCACAGCAACAATGTTCTATTCATCGCAGCTTCGTGATGATAATAATGTGTGTGGCACAAGCTAAGCTTAGCTTGATTGAAGTGCAAGCAGAGAATATTTGTCAAAAGATAGATGGTCAGGAATCCTGAGTGTTTATAGACTTATTATCATCCATGGCAACAAGTGAATATGGTGCCTGCATCGTTTGATCTTCAGAAAAAGCACAGCACCAGGCTCTGGCTTGTCAAATAGTAATAGACAGAAGAATTGACCCAATTAAGTCTGCAAAAAACTAGATCTGGCCATCAGGGACTTTTAGCATTCTAGACTCATTTCCTAAAGTCTCTGAGATTTCCATTCAACTTCAAACAAACTTAAGAATGAGAGTTCAAATGGGACCTTTGCAAATGAATGGCTTCATCTGACACAGTGCTTTTATGCTGCCTGTATAGAAATGAGAAGGCAAAGGCTTCTATTTGACTAAATGACAAGTAAACAAATGTTGCAGTTACCCTGGAGGTTTTCCTGCTGGTTTATTTCACAGGAACAGGATGGAGATCCTGAATTTCCATAGTGCACATGATATGCACTTGACAAACAAAGCTAGAAATACAATCACACCCAAAGGCAATACACACCTGTCTGCCTCTGACATGAGCTGCTCTCAAACATGATATCTGGATCATTTTCCTGAAATTTTCTAGAACTGCTGAATGTGAGAACCTAAATTTCAGTTTCTCGAAACATTTACTTGAACCTTTCCTGCCAGCCCCTAGTAAAATGTCCAGAAAATGCACGAGCCACTGAGCATTTCAA